GATTGTCTTTGAGTGAAGCACAACTCATAGCAACCCTATGAACAAAACACCTCCCAAAAGTATTTAGTTGATATTTCCAGTTTAAATCATGTTACTGGTTAACAAACAGAGATTATACACCTTTCCCAGAATATTCATTTCAAAATTTGAAGGTCAAACTTGATATGTGTTTTATTACACACAGATAAAGTATTTAAAAATTTTATCCATTTAATTATATTTAATAGCTTTTTATTTTGTGGTGAATCTATCTATCTATCTATCATCTTATCTATCAATCTCTATCTCTATCTGTCTATCATCTATCTATCAACTCTACTCATTGCAATCAAGTCAGAACAACTCATAGCTGAGTATGTTTAAAAGACTGAGGAGGAGATTGTCCATCTTTCCCAGAGGATCTAGTGAATTTGAACTGCCTGTTTTGAGTTGGCCGCACAGCTCCTTTCCCACAAGGTCATCAAAGTTAGACAAAAAGCTATGTCATGCCAACAATTTTATGTTTATAGCCCAATGACATTAATTACATTCATCTTGGCTAACTATCACCACTATCCATCTCCAGGTTTTTCTGTTATACTTTCTACTCACATAAGCCCCATGGTCCCTAAGTAATTAAGTGACCTTTCTGTCTTTCTTCTACTTCTGGTTCTATTACCTGTTGCTGAGAAGTTGACTCTGATTTATAGCAACTATAGGACAGAGTGGATGCGCCCCATAGAATTTCCAAGTCTGTACCCTTTATGGAAACAGTCTGTGCCCGCCACCTTTTTCTTCCCCAGAATTTCTGCTGGGTTTGAACTTCTGACCTTTCAGTTGTTGACTAAGTGTTAGAACCACTCAGTCCAAAGGCTCCTACCTCTGGTAACCATTGAATGAACTAAATGTTGATTTTCTTTTTCTTTTTCTTTTTTTTTTAAATTTTGTGTACGTGTACCGTCAAATCAGATCTGACTGGTACAGGAGGATATTGCGCCTCCTTCTCCGGCAGAGCGTCTGGTGGATTCGAACCGTGTTCCTCTGGGATTGCAGTGCAGTTTCTTGCCACTAGGCCACCAGAGCTCCCCTAAATGTTGATTTCCATACATTTGCCTGTGAAGAGTGTTTTTTAAAAATACCATGTTCTGTGTACAACTTTAAATAAAGGAAGTGGAGAGGTAAAGTGACTATGAGTTTTTCTTCATCTTTACCTTCCACCCTTCATCTAGAAACAAGAATACATCTGTCAGCAGGAGGTCCTCAAATCTGTGAACTGTCCGGCCCCTTGGTGGACTGGTTTTGACATGTGCTTGTCACACCCTCTTCTGGTTGCATGGGGATCTGCAGAACAATCTAAGAATCAGCCTACTTCACACCCTTACAAACAAAAACTGGCCACACACACTCTTAGGAACAGCAGCTAACGCTTAATGAAGAGGATGAGGTTTAGGATACCCAGTGGACTCTGGCTTTGATTTGCTAGGTTGAATCCTACATTTATTACTGTCTGTGCTTTCCAGACCCTGTCATGGACATTACTTCATTTGATTTCCCCCACAATTTCCAGTGGAACTGGAATTATATTAGCCTTATTAGAGATGACAAATATAAGGTATAGATTAACACAAACAGTCCTGGGCCAACAACACAAGTCAAGGGTCACAATGAATACATAGATATTTGTCTCTACTAAAAATCCATCTGTAAAGAAATGTCTGCCAGATTGCCATTTTAGACATTAAAGTGAGAATTGGAATCTTCTCACAGTTTTAATAAATTGCCGTAATGAAGTTGGTAATTTGGTCATGTTTCTGTCAATGCATTTTGTATCGTTACTAGTTTTCGTAGCATCACCTGCAGTATGAGTTAGGGATGACCTGATTGAGTAGTGAATACAGCAAAAGTTCAGTTTCAAGCAACACGATAAAAACCATGATCCAAAGCCCCATTACCTCCCAACAATCCTGACATCAGCTAAAACATGCACCATGCAAAACATTCACCAGTACATTGAAGATCCCTTGAAAATCTAAGATTGCACCTATCTGATTACTTACTTTAGTTACTTCTCTTGGTTACAAATTGGGGCAGCAAGTACTATTTCTTATGTTTATACTTACAAGTGTAGTAACTAGTCAGTCACCTTTCAATGTCTGCACTTTAGATTCTATCAGACAATTTCTTTTTCAGTCTTTAAACTGTTGAAAAAGTATTGGCTTTCTGAAAGCAACAAGTGCTTAGGACTGCTTAGCAACTTTACTGTTGAAATATCAGCAATACTTGTTTTTGAAAAGGGTACTTGGAGGAATCCATATAGATAGGACATTAGAATTGAAGAAAGGTTCTAATTAAATACTACCGCGGCTATAATCATACTCCTACATAATGATAGTTATATTCAAGCTTCAGTATTACTCAGTGTAAAAGACAATTAGATTTCTAATCTTGTATAATTTATGAAAGAAAGTTTATTATCCAGTTACATTTTGTTCTTCATGGAGTTTTCAGTAATTTAATGGACACATCTAACAGCTCTATTAACTTCTTTGAGTTCATTTTTCTTTGCTTAGAAAAAAGTATATAGCTTATAAACAGTAATATATTTAGAAACAGTTAAATGATTAAAAGCATCATAATTTGAGATGTTCTAATGGACATTTTAATTAGTCCTATTACCTACTTGGATGAAATGGAATTTTACAAGATTTTCTCTTTGTGTACACTCTTTGGCTCTATTACAATAGCTCCAAATTTGCACTGAATTCACATGGATGAATGCACGTTATTAGAGATGTGTAAGTTCTTTTATTAAAAATATGCTGCTTTTAATCCTGTGATTTTCTTTTTTTCCTCTATTAGGAATGGCATCTCTGAATGAAAGATAAGGGTTCGTTTCCTCCTGTTTCTTCAGTATCCATTTACCTTCCTTTTGATTTATATCCCTTGTTAGGGTCCTCACATGTCTCATTCTGCAATGATATAATGAAGATGGAAAATCATCTCATTCTTAGAGTGACTTTCAAGAAGCATTATCTTCTGTTGCCTAACTGTTCTAGCCTATACCATCATTAAATCAACCTGGAGATGGAATAATAAACCAATTTCAATATTCATAAAAATGATCCTTCTATATTTAAAGATGGTAATTTGTTTTCCTTGGAGACCTCTCACCAACTAGACTAACTTTTTTATGTTTGCTATACTTCTTCAAAGAAGAAATTGAATGCCTGTCTTCATTAGTCAAATAAGGGGATATTTTTACCTTTCTTACATGCTTGTAATTTCAGATATGGAGAGTTATTGTCTTATAAATCACAAGAAACATAAAGAGAAATGGTCTTGACAGTGATTCATATCTCCAATGCTGCTATACAGTGGAAAGTTAAAGGAGAGGCACAATCAGAATCAGTGCAGTGGTTGTAATCACGTTCTTCTTATAATGCAGTAATATGCAAGTCAGTCTGCATCCATAAAGATACATTAACTACAATTGGTGGAGATGAAAAATTTTGGTTTTTCTTAATAAATTGTATGCATGCAATGTGCAAAGTAGAAAAGAATTTATTAGAAGGTCCTACATGCATTTTTATTCCCAAGTGGATATTATTCATTTAAAATAGTTCCTAACCAGCATTAGAGTCTTTTAACTTTTTTCAGTTGTTTTGAGAACTTTTAACTTTTTGCATGGCATCTTGGCATCTTGGGTCTGCAAATTCAAGAGCCAATATTTATGAATCCCTACATCTCCTACTTTGATATATAAAAATGTTTACGTGGAATGCTATGAAATAATAGAAATGCAATTAATTTCATCCTATCTATCTAAGAGTGATCTAATTCAATGCTTATTTCAGAGCCGTTAAAATAATTAATGATTAAGCTAATTAAAGTCAATGAAATATTTATTTATAGGTCAGCATCATAATTGCAAGTACACAGTGTTAACAAAATTCAGATTTATTACGTACAGTACTTTTGGCTTAAGTGAAAAGTTCACCTCACAGGCATGTTCAACTCTTTAGCTCTCCATATTAGGTAGGGTTCCTTAGGGGAAGATTTTCATGTTGACATTGGGACCAATCAGAGCCCAGTGAGTGAGAAGGTGAACACTTGATGGATCACATCACTGGGAGGTAACATGCACATCCACCCTGTCATTTTATCCAAAAGCAGAGAGAAGCTTTTGGAAGATGAGAACTTTGATTCCAGCAAAGTGATGACACAGAATCAATCTCATTCTCGTTAGTTCCGGATGAGTATGCAAAAGCTCAAAGATAACAGATGAAAACCCATATAACCACTACATTTTACAATGTTCTTTTGGTTAGTTTCATCTAGAAGCAACTCACACATTCTTAATTAAGTACTGTATATACATAAGCGAGGTGACAGTTCTAGTCACTGAAACACTTGAGAACAGACTGTTTTGCACTGAGCGCTCATGTAGGGTTCTATAAAATTTTATTAGCAAAGCTGATGAGGGAATTGACTTGAATTGCAAAAATCTCTTTTGCAGTTGAGGTGAGGCGGTTGTCAAGTAAACACATTCATGACAATTGGACCATTGTCTGTTATTCAACATCTGAAAATAAGTAGGAAGCAAAGACTCTCCTTTTGATGTAACTTTAAGGTAATTCATTCAGTTTCCAAAGACTATTTATTTCTTTTTAAAGGATTTAAATATTTAGAAATGTAGCACCTCTATGCCTATACATTTTGTACTTGCAAACAACATTCCCCTAAATTGCACTAGGACAATTGAGGGGAGCATGTGGATCAGAAAACAGAAGCAAAAATGAGTACGCGCCTGCCCCACATCAAAAACCAGGCTCATAAAACTTTTTCCTGAAATTATATGCAAGAAATTGCTTTCCCTCCCCACCCCATGTAGCCCTTTTCTTCTGAATTCTACAAGTCCAACCTTGTTAAATCCTTTTCTCTCAATGAGAAACAGACCTTTTTGCAAGTTCCTCGAGTCCCTGACTGTGGAGAAGTGTTTCAGTGACCAAACAATGAATTACCTTTATGGCAGAGAGATCGATTTTTTCTTCTTTTTTGGCGGGGGCAGGTGCTGGGGCCGGGGCCGGGGCCGGGGCAGCAGCAGCTGCGGGCTTCTTCACGTCCTTCTTTGGTGCCATTTTGTTTAAAAGGATGGGTTAAAAAAAGAAGAGCTCCTCTAGATGAACCTGTCCAGAGGATTCTTGGAAGAGGAGTGGAGGCTCGCTTGATCCGCAGCCCAGTGTCTTGACGGTGGACCCAGAGTGTTCAATGGTATAAGGGCATGCATATATATTTCACTTAGTACCTAATACAATCTTGACACATGCGGCTGGATTGGACAGTTCGCTAGTCAAGGGGGATGGCATTCCGGCTCAGACTATAAAAGGAATCTAAAGGGTCAGGGCTTCATCAAATTTTTTTTTTAACTCCCTTTCCTTTTTTTTTTTTTTTGAAAGTTCCCCTTTCACCTCCATCTATAAAGGAGGAATAAATATATGACAAAGCCAAGTTCAGATCCTTTAGCGATTGTAGATCCACTGGTATTTTTCTTGGTGGGATACAGCTCTGCTGAAGTTGTAAATCTTTCCCCCTCCCCTTGCCTAAGAAACTTTACTGAAGGATTTGGTTTCAACTTGGAATTTGGCAGTGACTGTCACCAACTTTCACCCAGCTCCTTTTGCTTTCGCTCCTCCCTCCTTGCCGTAGTTTGTAAGAAAATGTTGGTCAGCAAAGAGGTGATGTTTAAAAATAAAAAGCAGACGTATAAGGAAAGCCCTTCAAGTCTTACTGTAGCTTCCCTTCTAGGGAGCACCTTCTCCCTCTCTTTCTCTCCCTCCTACGTTCCTCCTCTATCTCTTACTAACATCTTGTGAACTCTGTACCAAAGAAATAGAATTCCAAATAAATCCCTTTCTGTAATCCAGTGGGAAAAAATGGAAATGGATGAAAACAACAGTAGAATGTACCTTATTGAAAGCAGCTTTTCTAGTAGTAAAGTAGCCCCCAATCGAAGTAGCTAACTTAGCCCTTTTACTTTCTAAAAGACATAAAGGTCAATTACCTGTATTTCCACCTGATCTTTTATGCATACTAGGGAGACAAGGTAAATTTTGCCTACAGGAGCAGAGTTTACCCTAAGAAGCAAAAGTATTTTACTTTTCAATACTGTGCACATTTTGCTGTTTTGAAAGGTGACTTTCTTTCTGCCCTTGGCTTCCTGTTGGCAAGGCTCTCTCACCTTCTCATTACCATGATGGAATCACAACCTACTCATAGCTGACCCTCCACTGGGTTTCTGAAGCTGTAAATGGCACGGAGTATTGTCCATCTTTCTCTTGGAGAGCTGATTCAAAGTGTTAGTGAGTCACAGACTATGGGATAGCAGCACAACTCCCCATGGGCCAAGTAATCAGAGACTTACATTAAAAAGTATAAGATAATAATGGATATTTTATAATGTGGCAAGTTCTGTTCCTCTGAGTGAGATGTGTGGTTATGATTGGGAACCATATCATACATTGGTGTTTTAATCTATGCGATCTTTCATTCATACTTGGTGATTAGTTGATCAGAGATCCTGAGCGGTACAAATGGTTAAGCACTTGGGTCCTAAGTAAAAGGTTGGTGGTTTGAATCTACTGAGAGGCACTGTGGAAGAAAAGCTTGGCAACTTCCAAAAATCAACCATTGAAAAGACTGTGGAACACAATTCTACTCTAATGTGCATGGGCCATTTTGAGTCAGAACCAATTCAACAGCAATTAATTGGTAAAAAATATAAATATAGAATATGAGTTGTATAGGGAAAATCTGCTGTCAGGGACTTCTCCAGAGTACTGAAGAGCCAAGATGTCTGTCTGAAAACGAAGGTTCGCTTGATGAAGGCCATGATCTTTGCAATTACTTGCTATGCATCAAAAATCTGGACAATGACTAAAGATGGTAGAAAGTGAATTGTTGATGCCTTTGAGCTGTGGTGCTGTAAGGGTCTTGAACATACCATGGACTGCTAGGAGAGCAAACAGGTTTGTCCTGAAGAGGGTGAAACCAAGTTGCTACTTGGAAGGAAGGATTCAAAAGCTCTGTTTGACATACTTTGGACATGTCATAAGGAAGGAGCAGTCCTTGGAGAGGGACATCATTCTCAGAAGGATAGAGGGACAGTACCAGAGAGGAAGATGCTGGATGAGATGGATTGACTCAGTGACTGGGGTAATGGGGATAGGTGTGCCAGAGACAATGAGGTGACACAAGACAGAGCAAGGTTCAGAGCGGTTGTACATAGATAGGGTTGCTATGAGTTGCAAGTAACTTGATGGCACATAACAACAATAACAACAACAACACATCAATGGATATGTTTTTATTGTTGTTACATGCTGTTGAGTTGGAACCTATTCACAGCTGACCCTCTGACAGGCTTTCTGTGTCAGTAAATCACATGAAAGGAGATTACTCACCTTCTATGGAGCAGCTGATAAATTTGAATGGTTTGCTTTTGGGTTTGCAGAGCAACTCCTTACCACTAGGCCACCAGAGCTCCCGACTAGAATTTCAATTGTTAAATATTGTTGTGTTTAGTAATATGGATCCATTAGTCACTTTCTTTTCAAAAGAAAACATTCTTTCCCTTAGAAGAATGTCTCTAATGTTCTCCTTACATTATAGCTAAAAGTAATTTAAATTGTCATGTTAAAAATGTTGTTGTTGTTGATTGCCATAGAGTTGAGCATGACTCCTCGGGACCCTATGAACCAAAGACCTGAAACCTTTCTATAACTATTGTCGTTTCTCAAAGTTCATGGAGTGTCCAGAGGTGTGTTGTTTAGGATGTGGATGTCACTCCTGCTGTTTCAAATCTGTCTTTAATGGGGAATGCCACCAAACACTGTTGACCCAAGATTCAGCATCACAGCAATCCCAGGTTACCTCAGTACAGCAAATGGACAGAAGAATAGAAGAATGTTCCTCCAACATGTAATAACAACCAACTTTTAAATACAAAGGCCCTCCCCGAGGTCTTGTGGACTCTAACGTAAGAAACAATCATATCTGACCCACAAGTTACCTGCCCTCTTTTCTCCCGTGGTGGTCTGGATTACTTTATCTACATATGTTCAAGAGAAGGTTTTGATTTGTTTCTTCTCTCTGGATTCCAATTGTGTGAGACCTGAATTTAACTGCTGATACACATTTCTTACAAATAAGGCTTCCATGAGACTCTGAAAATATTTTACCTAAGGCTATTAATTGGCATAACATGTTACCTGTTAGGCTCTTAACAGAAAGGTTGGTGGTTTGAATCCACCAGCATGAATTGATATTGACTCATCCATAAATCAGAATTATTGGGACAGTGGTTTGTGTGTACCTTTGAGTCAGAACCAACCCATAACTGACCCTCTGGTAGGTTTTCAGAGTCTATCTTTCTCCCACAAAGCATCTGGTGGATTTGAGCCATGTGCCTTTGGGATTGCGGAGCAGCATTTTACCACTCAACCATCAGAGCCATTAAATCCACATCAACTTCTAGAAACACTATTATACAACATATCTAAACCTTGCCTGACTCTGCTGACCTTACAATTTCCTCCAGTTCCTGGTTGCAGTCACGGTATTAATCCATCTTGTTGAAGGTCTTCCTCTCCTTCTCTGATTCTCCACCCTTCCAATTGTGAAATCTCTTCAAAGGGACTGACCTTTTTCTTGGCAATATGTCCAAAATATGTGAAACAAAGTTTCACCCTTGTTTCCCCTTCTTCCAAGACATATTGATTTACTCTTTTGGCAAACCGTGGGTAGTCAACATTCTTTGCCATCACCACAATCCAAAGACATCAATTCTTCCTCAGTCTTTCTTTTAAATTGTCCAATTTTCATATGCAAAAGAAACAATCGAAATGCTATCGCTTGGATCAGGAAAACACTTTTCTTTAAACTGATATGATTGTTTATGGTCATTTTGAAAAATGTCTGTGACAGCAGATTTGCCTAATGCAAGTTAGCCATGGGTTGTGGTTTAATAGAGTAACATAAAAAAACTAATATTCAGTTCGTTGTGACTCTTGGGAACCTCTATCAGGTTTTTTGAGGCTGTCAGTTTTTATGGGTAGAATCTGTGTCATCTTTCTCCAGTGGAGCTGGTAGGTTTGAGCCACTGAGCTTTCAGTTAGCAGCTCAACCCATAATGAACTATGCAACCAGAGATTCCTACTAATTAGAAAGCCATTGTTGTGTACCAATGAGTTGGAATCAACCCATAATTGACTTTCTGGAGGCTTTAGAAGCTATTAATCACATTGGAGGAGATTGCTCATCTTTATCTGTAGAGCAGCTTGTGGATTTGAACCTTATGCCTTCAGAATTGCAGCACAGTGTCTTACCATTAGGCCATCAGAGCTCCAGTAGAATTTGAAATAATGAATGTTTTATAATAAACACAATTTTTACAAATAGAAATTTGTCCACCAGTTTGTTATACTTTAGATTACCAATAATGAAGTGTTAAATTTCTGTTGGCTGTGATGTTCTAATTCATGTTTATTATTGCTAGGTGCTGTCAAGTATGACTCATAGTGACACCATGAACCCTGTTCTATCCTTTTTCAACCTCATACTTTATGACATGCTTGAGCCCGTAGCTGCAGTAACTGTCAGTCCATCTGGTTGAGGGTCTTCATCTTCTTAATTGACCCTCCACCTTTGAAAGCATGGGATTTGCAAGTAATAGCCTCTCCTAGCAATATGTCCAATGTACATGAGATAAAGCTTTGTCATCTTTGCCTCCAAGGAGTACTCGAGTTGCACCTTTTCTAAGACATATCTATTTGTTATTTTGGCAGTACTCTTTTCCAACACCACAGCTCATCGGTATACATTCTTCTGTCATCTTTATTCGTTGTCCAGCTCTCAGATGACTGAAAAGACCATGGCGTGGATCAGGCACACCTTAGTCCTTGAACTGACATCATTACTCTTCAGTATTTTGAAGAGGTGCCTGACAGTGGACTTGCCCAAGCAATATATATCATGATCTCCTGACTGTTGGTACCAAGGGTATTGATTGTGGATCCCAGTAAGATGAAGTCATTGACAAGGTGAGTTTTATCTCTATTTTTCATGATGTTGCTGGTTTGTCTAGTGGTGAGAATTTTTATTTCCTTCATGTTCTTCTACAGCAAGTGCTTTGAATCTTTCTTACATTAAGCAAGAAAGATTGTGTCATCTGCATAATGTGGGTTGTTAAGCCTACTTCTGATCCTGATGCTGCACTCTCATTGTC